GAGTCACTTTTATGCTAAGCACCACATCACCAAACCAGAATTCATTTGTGTCAGCTCTCCCAGAAATAGAACCTTAAACCAATAAATCAGGAATTGCCTAATCAGCACTAGTTAGATAATCTGCCTGATAGACCCCTGCCATCCCCTAAAGGAAAGTAACCCAATCCAAAGCAATAACCAACCTGCTTTTTTGCCTAATGCAACTTCTTGTTCCTGGAGGTCTTTCATTTTGTACAGCTCTTCAGAGTTCTTTTCAATCTGCTAGACTGGATGCTGCCCGATTCATGAGTCATTCATTGCATAAGATCTTTAAAATTTACTGAGTTGAATTTTGTTTTTTAATAGGGAGAAGGAAGAATATTCCAGGGGTGCCTGGGTGGCTCAGTCAGTTAAGCATCTGGTCTTGGCTCAGGTCATGATCGCAGGGTCCTGGGATCGAGACCCACATCAAGCTCCCTGCTCAGTGGGGAGTCTGCTTCTCCCTCTGTCTCTGCCTCTGCCCCTGCCCCCGCTATTGCCCTCTCTCTCACTCAAATAAGTAAATAAAATCTTAAAAAAAAAAAAAAAAGAATATTCCAGATCAGGGAACAGATTTGTAAAGGCACGATGACAGGAGGGAACGTACATGTTACTAGAGCCTGAAAGCAGACCAGTGAGGTGGTAGAGTGAAAAAGGGTGGGGAGGAGGGGAGAGACATGGAGGTCAAAAAGACAGTACTTGGCAATAGCAGTTAGGAATACTTTTGTGAAATGACCAGACAACCGGACCAACAGTGGCTTGAACACACAAGGGTGGTGTGTGTACATGTATGTGTATGTGCATTTCCTCAGATAATAAGTTTCCTTAGACAATAAAAAGATAATAAGAATTCCAAAGGTAGGAGGGATTTGTTTAACAGTTCAGTGATGCCAGGGCTAACATGAAGATCTTTTTCCTCACAGCTGAAACCACCTCCATGCCCCATGATCAAGTCAAGGCAGGAAGAATTGAGAAAAGGGGCAAAATTCAAGACAATTGTCTCTTTCATCAGGAAAGGAAAACCTTTCCCAAACCACCATCCCCCACCCCCAGTAGATTTCTGCTGAAGTCTTACCAGACATAACTGTGTCATCAGGCCACTCCTAGCTGCCAGGGAAGCTGGAAGATCTACTGTTTAACTTTTCTATTCCCTTTAGAAAAAATGGAAAAGGGGGTAAGGGGATTGGGAATGGATGTTGAGATAAGAAATTCACAGTGAGTTTGCAGGTACAGGGTTGGGGAGGTAAACAACTGGGCAGTTGATATTCTGAGTGGGTAACACTGCAACATCATTAGCTCAGTTTGGGATATATTGAGCTTGAGGTATATGGTAAACTGAATCCCTGGAACCTGTGAATATTACTGTATATGGAAAAAGGGACTCTACCAAAATGATTAAATTAAATATTGAGATGGGGAGATTATCTTGGATTATCCAGGTGGGCCCTAGATGTAATCACATGTGTCCTTATAAGAGGGAAGGACAGGGAGATTTGACTCCAGAAAAGCAATAGATGTGACAACAAGGAAGAGGTTACAGTTATGTGAGGAAGGCGCCAGGGAAGGCAGACAACTTCTAGAAGCTGAAAAAGAAAACAGATTCTCCCCTCAGAGCCTCCAGAAGGAACCAAACCTAATGACACCTTGACTTTAGCCTATCGAGACTGATTTTAGACTTCTGATCTACATAACTGTAAGAGTATAAATTTGTACTGTTTTAAGCTTCTGCTTTGCTTGTGGTAATGTGTCAGAGCGGGAATAGGAAACTAATGCAAATTGCCTTTAAAACATCTAAGAGAGGTCAGTTAGGCAGATGGATGTAAGGGTTTGGAGGTGAAAGATGAGGGCTGGGCTTGAGATATACATTTGAGTGTCATATTCAGGTGGGTCAGCATTGAAGATGTAGGAGGGCATAAGCTCCTATGACTGTCACCTACATGCTGTGCATCTTTCACCGAGGTACTTAACGTCTCTGAAACATTATTTATTGAACTTTTATTCTGTCCTGGCATCATATCAAGCTATTTACATGCACTCTCATTTAATCCTCACAACCACTTTATAAGGTAGACACCATTTTTATCTCCTATTTACAGAAAAGGAAACCGAGGTTTAGAGAGATTAATCATGTCCAAGATCAGACAGTACATGATGCAGACTAACTCCATTCCTCTGCCTTGGCCCTTATAGCCCATGCATCAGCAGCGCTGGCACGATCTACGAGTTCGTTATGACTCCTGAATCAAATCTGAATCTTCACAAGATCCCCAAGTTACTTATACATTGTGTAACAAGCGCTAGACTCCAGCCTGCCTCCAGAATGGGTTCCACTCAGGCAGGTGCTGCACCAAGAGCCTAGTTCGGAGTTCTAGAAGCACAGAACGTTTTTCACCTATCTTTGCTTACATCATTCTCTACCTGGAGCTAACACTTCTGTTCAGATGCCCGGATTAGGCACCTCCAGAACTCTCAGGTGCTTTTGTCTCCTGTAATTCTCGAGTTACAATGCTGTCTTCTCCGCTACGTCTCTAGTACAAAACACAGTTCTTTCTCGCCTAGGCACCCCAACGCCAGGTTCTGCCAAGCAAAATGCAGGAAGCGCCAGAGCAGACGCCCAGCAACTATTTAAAAGGAAGTATGAAGTAGCTAACGAAACTTAACTTGTCGCCCTAAGAGACCCGCGCAGACGCAGTCATACCCTGCCGAGCCCGAGAGAGGCCGGACGGTGAAGGGACAGTGAGCGCGAGGTTTAAATATCAGAACTCCGGAGCCCCGCGGGCCGACTGACTGAACGCATGCGCACAGCGGCCTGGGAGCTCTCTCAGACGGCCTTCCCCGCATGCGCGGGAGCTCGGATGCGGATCCAGTTGGTTGAAAGTGCTCGGCATTGCAGTAATGGCTGCTCCCGGACTTGCGACGGGTGGTGGAAATTGGTTTTCGGCTTTGGCGCTCGGGGTGACTCTCCTCAAATGCCTTCTCATCCCCACCTAGTAAGGGACCCGCTCCGCGGTTGGTCAAAGCGGGAATGAGAAGCGTGGATGCCCGCGGGTGGGAGGAGGAAAGGGAACTTGGAAGTCATATGGGCGCCGTTTTGCTTCCCCCTCCGCCGATTGATTGTTACTTGACCTGAGAACTAGATCATAGCCCTGGATGGCTGGCTTCAGGATTGGCGCTGTCTGACTTCAGTGTTTCTAAGCCTTGGGTCCTCAACCTTAGTGCGCAGATTTAGAACACCCACCTCCACCATTCATTCAGTGGTATTTATCAGTTGCCTGCCAGCTAGGCACTAAGTCCTGGAGGTGCGGTGGTGAGAAAGACATTTCCTCTTCTTGCCCTTGATAGAATTCGTGGGGGCAGATAGACAAAAACGATAGTTTCAGATTGTGATAGGATGGATCTATGAAGGAAATAGAGTGACTACGGGTCAAGGCTTTACTCTTTTAGGAGGTGATGTTTAAGTTAAAATTTGGAGGATGAAAGAGAATAAGCAATGTAAAAAGCAGTTCAGGCATAGGAAAGAATTAAGTATGAAGGCCCTGTGGTAGGAAAGAACTCAGCATTCTGGGAATAGAAAGTGGCCATTGTGAGTGAAGAGCATTACGGAAGGAGGAGAGTGGCACAGAATGAGGTGGGTAGTGGCCAGATCACACCAGGTTAGACTATTTTAAAAATGGAGGGGCAAGTCTGAAAGCATGGAAACCAGTTAGGTAGGAAGCAACCATCATGTAATGTGTATACTGTGGGTACTCAATATTTATTAATATTAGCATCCACCATCTCTTCATCCTTCCTAACTCTTATGCAGTGATTTCTCCCTTCATTCCTTTTCTCCCTTCCCTCTAGGTCTCCCTACCTTTTCCCAATTTAGGTTTAGGTTTACTGGTATACTTTGGTTCAAGTTCTTGGTGATATTCTGTTGGATATGGAAGGAAGAGCTGTATGTATAGAGTGTACATTCATGCTGACGTGTATATGTAATTATAGAAGCAATGAAGTGTGTGTGGGTTTAGCAAAATGACTTACAGAGACTTAGAAAAAGGAGTTGGCCAGTCAAACTTTCTGCATAAGTGAAAGTAAATAAGAAACATCTTCCTGCTTTAAAAGCAAATTGGAAAAATTGTTCTACAATGTAAGAAATTCCTTTCAAATCAGAGTGAAAGGGTTTGTTTTTTTTTTTTTTTAGCTGTAAGTCTGTGCATTTAAAGTGATATTCTTTAGTGACTTGCTTTAGTTACTTAAGCCTAGAGACATGTCTTCAGGGTTGTTACTTTGAATACCACTCTTAGTCCAGGATTAAGAATGTACGTAGTTGTAGTTAATGCTCTGCTTCTCAAATTGTAAAACCTGGGGATGTGAGAGGGAAGCTACAAGATAAATGTAAAAGTAGTCAACAAAGTGTTAACTGCTTTTTACATACCAGGTACTGTGGCTAGGCACTACAGGAGAGGACAAACTGGATATGATCACTAACCCCCTAAAGGGTGTAGTTTTGTAGGATAACAGTTCCAGAAACAAATCAACGCAAATATGTAATTACATTACTACACTTGTGTTAAAAGCATTACAAAGGAAAAGAATGGGATTCTATAAGAGGACTAACTAGGGGGACTTACTTTAGATTGGGTGTCAGGGAAAGTCTCTGAGGAATTGACATGTAGTTGAAGGCCTGAAAACACGCCCAGTACATATCTTTTGGTAAACATAGGTAAATGCATTTCTGTTGAGTACTGTGTATGCTTAGAAATGGAATTCCTAAGTCATGAGATCAGTTTTGAATTGTGATTTTGAGGATTCCGTAGGAAATTAAGGTGACATTGTCAGCAGGAATTTGGGGATGTCTATCTCTAGAACTCAGGAAAGAGATCAAGCTTGTATTGTGGTATGGGAGTCATCATTATACAGTTGATAATGGACGCAATAAGTATGAATAAGATTGTCCAGAACAGAGTAAATTGCATAAAAAGAGGACCAAGAACTGAACCTTGGGGAACATCGGCATTTACTTGATGAATATTGGAATGGAAAGCCATGAAAGAGACAGAGAAGGTTTTGGCTAGGAAACTCAGGAGAGTTGCCACAGCAAAGGTTGTATACAACGTTGGGAAGTGTTAATCGGGTTTTACTGCAGAACTCATAGTTGACTTTGATGAGTAGTTAACTCAGCAAGAATGTGTTGAGCCCATCCATGTATCAGGTGCTATTCAACACATGGAGGGGAAGTACAGCAGTTGACAAATGGAAAAAAAAAATTATTCTAAAGAGGGGAGAAGAGTACAGAATATGCCACCCCAAAATAAGCCTCTGGCATCAGGATTATTTGGGGCTGATTATTTGGAGAAACTGCAGACACAGGAGAAGCTCTAAAATCAGAGAAGTTACCCTTTTGTAAGGAAAATTTACATTAGAAAGGGGGCCTGTACTGGAGAGAGAGCTGTGATGGGAGATCACTTTTTCACCTCAGAGACTCAGCGGCTGGCAGAGCAACCTTGGTGCACACCAAACATCCTCTTCTGGCTTCCAGTGAATTGCCTTCGCCCCATTGGAAGGCCCAGGCCCCTATCCCTTTCCTCAGCTCAGGGTGGTATATAAGCCTCAATCATTTGGCTGCCTTCTGAGTCTCCTATCTTTCTTACATCTTTTGGGGCTTTCATACATGCATGTGTTATTAAAATCGGCTTTTTTTCTCCTGTTAATCTGTGTTATGTCAGTTTAATTCTTAGGCCAGCTACAGAATTTAGAAGGATAGAAGAGAACATGTTTCTTCCCCTGCAGAGGAGATGCTTGCCTATATTTGCATATAGTGAGGAATTTGGAGACATGGGAAAGGCAGGGAAGGGGCCTTTTCCCAGCTTCTCTGTCGGATGAACTCCTGCTTATCCTTGAAGATCTAGCTGGTGTGTGAAACATTTCCCAGATAATGAATTTTGTTAGAATTCTTTGTGAACAAGAGTAAGTCACCTCTGAGCAATAGCCAGAGGACCTCCCTTATGAAAATGTATGGGCTTTTGATCAGCCCTTTAGACAACTCCAGGAGCCTTTTCACTTACGTATAGATCCCCAACTTTTCCAGAAAGCAGTCTGGCCTTCAGATAAGTGAGGTGTTTCAGGATTATGTAATGCCTGTTTGTGTTTTTATAGGCTCATGAGCTATGACTATATAGGAGTGTTAGTCCATTTAAAAGCATAATTTTAGAAATGTGAAATCGAGGGGTGCCTGGGTGGCTCAGTCGGTTGAGCATCCAACTCTTGATCTCAGCTGGGGTCTTGATCTCAGGGTCGAGAGTTTAAGCCCCGAGTTGGCCTCTGTGGTGAGTGTGGAGCCTACTGTTAAAAAAAAGAAAGAAATGTGAAATTAACAAATGTGACAAAATCTCATTTCACTCATCTGATTGTTTTGAGTAGCCATTCTACAGATTTTGAAGTACACCGAAACTGGCTTGCTATCACTCACAGTTTGCCAGTATCACAGTGGTATTATGAGGTAAGTTTTAATTTTCACTTTTTTGGTGGCTTATCTTTTACAATGATGTGTGATATCATATAAGTATTACTGACATTAAAACACTTTTGCAAAAAAAAAGTTTTCTGTGTGATTACAGGTATAATTAATCTTCAGAAAAATTGTGCTTTTTCCTCTTCTCTGTCCTCTGGCTCTATTAGGGAATCCCTTTACTTCAAAATGAGTTTCCCAAACTATACATTGGGAATTACAATATTTGCCACACCTTTTTTGAAAGAATTGGGATTGAGAAAGAGGAAAAATTGGATTCTAGACCTGGCTTTGCCACAGCATAGAAAATATATTTCATTTCTCTGAGCCTTAGTTTCTCATCTGGCACATAAGGATTTGAAATGAATTATTTCTAAGATCCTGTCTGTCCCCAGTATTTAGTGATTTATGAGAATGTGATTTGTAGGCTTCTGGTAATATACAAAGCATTCTCTTCTATTATTTATAAAAATGATGTATTTTTATTTCTGGTATGAATTACTAAGTTGCATATGATATTTCATGAAAAACAGACCTCACTTCAGAAGTGCCTTGATCAGAAACAGCACTCTGCTGCAGGGAGATTTTTTTAAGACAATCTAAAGTTTTCTGTGAATTTGTTCTTGCTTTTTGGGTTTTTTTTAGCCAGATCAGAATAGTCCTTAATAGCTGAAAAACAATTGACCTAAGGGACCAAGTTCCTTCTCACATAATAACACTATAAGTATTTGATAGGAATATTAAGGATCTATAAGTAATTTCTTTAAAGTATTTCAGTTTGCATGTATGCAGACTAATTAGAAGACATCATATGTGGCATAGTAGTCAAAAGCTTGCAGACTGCCTCTGTGTGACTTTCAGCTCTGCCACCTAATGCCCATGCTGGGTGACCATGGGCACACTGCTTGACCTCTCAAAGCCTCAACATCCCTGACCATTAATGATAATAAGTATTAGAGTGAAGTGAATATAACGCTTATAATACTTAGCACAGTCTTGGAACAGAAGTGCTCAGCAAACATTATTAAGGGTTATTAATAATTAGCACTATTCATATAATGACCCTTGGACTATAAATGAAAAGGCAGCCCCTATCTCCCCTTTCTCTCTGACCAGTCCCTCTTTGTTTCTTTTGCTAACTCTTCCTCACCTGCACACCCTTTCAACAGCTGGTACTCTCTAGGGTTCTCTTTGTGGTCCTTGTTCTTTTAATTCTGTATTTCTTTCAGGATGTTCTCCCTCCTTTACTTCTATTATTTTCACCACTGTCTCTTAGGACTCCTAAAACTCTATTTAGGCCAGCGCTATCTTCTTTATCAGTTTATTTTAGATAAAAGAGACTTATGTAAAAGATATTCTTGGGGCACCTGGCTGGCTCAGTCAGTAGCATGTGCGACTCTTAATCTCAGGGTTGTGAGTTCAAGCCCCACGTTGAGCGTGTAGAGCTTACTCTAAAAAAAGATATTCTAGTAATCGTATACTTCTTTATTCTTCCTGCTCTCCTCAAAAATAACAACAAAAGCCAACAAGGAGCAAAACTCAGTTGTGGGCAAGGCTTGACTATATGTGAGAGGAGGCTTATAGTAGGAGATAAGGCTGGAGAGGTACATGTGGTCAGGTCTGGAAGGGTCTTTCTGCCATACTAAGGAGAGTGAACATGTGAGCAGTGGACTGCTTAACTGTGACTTCTAACCTGCCTTTCTGCTCTGACTTCAGCTTAAATTGATTGGTCTACTGATTGGGAAAGACACAAAAAGACCCATAATAAATATTTATGGAATGAACACAGTTGTTTTGAATCTTCATATGAAGAGGTTGGATGTTTCTATATTTGAAGATACAGCTCTTGGAGAGAGCAAGATAGAGTCCCTCGTGTACAGCAGTGTGGTAAGCAGCCAAGGGCGTTGCAGCTAAGACCAGATATCGTCAAGCCAGCACAGGCTGACGACAGCCAGAACTGATAACCAGCAGAACCAAAAGAAGCCTGCAAAGACCCAAGACTGATTAGACTCATTTAAAAAGGGAGGACTTTTGCAGCAAATTGTCAGACTCTCCAGACATTGAATGCGGTGAAAAAAAGGTCAGCGTCTGATGAGTCTGATGGTTTGCTGCAAAAGTTCTCCCTTTTTAAACGAGTCTAATCAGTCTTGGGTCTTTGCAGGCTTCTTTTGGTTCTGCTGGTTATCAGTTCTGGCTGTCGTCAGCCTGTGCTGGCTTGACGATATCTGGTCTTAGCTGCAACGCCCTTGGCTGCTTACCACACTGCTGAACATGAGTCAGTGCTTGACATGAGTCATTGCTTGACATGAGTGACTCCATCTTGCTCTCTACAGTTCTGTTGTAGTAGCTTACTGAACTAATGGATTTTGAGTCAGGAGACCCAGATTTGAGTTCCGGCTCTACCAGGTATTAGTTAAGTGGTGGAACTGTTCACTTGGGAGAAGATGATAGCTAATAGCTTCACTGACTTCCCGAAAGCGGTTTAAGTAAGAAAATGGCCCCAAATAGAAATCCTTGAGGTCAAGAGAACCTTCAGGCCTAGATTTGGAAAGTCTTTGTGTGGGGAATAGGGATAGCATATAGAGACCCTCTGAGTGGTTTGGGATTGAGAATAGCAAAGAAAGGACAGGGACACTTTGTTTTGGAAAAATGACCATCTCCCAGGCAGTACCTGTCCCTCCCAATTTTTTTCAACGCTTCCTGGTCCCCATTTTATTTAAAGTAATAAACGTGTCAATAAGATAAAGTAGGCATGAACCTTTTACACTTCCTATAGGGTAAGTGGCTCTTTAAGTGTAGAGTGAACTCTGACATAGAAACTGTAGCTGGGAACTGCTGATGTTAATAAAGTCCAAGTTGATGTTGACTTTCTTGGAATTACATGGAGCAGTAATTTCTCAACTTGTTTCTTTTTTTTAAGATTTTATTTGTCAGAGAGAGCGCACAAGTAGGGGGAGTGGCAGGGAGAGGGAGAGGCAGGCTCCCTGCTGAGCAAGGAGCCCCATTCGGGACTCCATCCCAGGACCCTGGGATCATGACCTGAGCTGAAGACAGACACCTAACCAACCGACTGAGCCACCCAGGCATCCCCTAAACTTGTTTCTTAAGTATCTATACCCTAGCAAGAAAACATTTTGGAGCATTTACTACTCAGTGTGAGTTTATTTATAAGTTATAAAAGTACTGCTTTATTAATACACTGTTAAAAATAGGCATTAAGGGCGCCTGGGTGGCTCAGTTGGTTGGGCGACTGCCTTCGGCTCAGGTCATGATCCTGGAGTCCCTGGATCGAGTCCCGCATCGGGCTCCCTGCTCGGCAGGGAGTCTGCTTCTCCCTCTGACCCTCCTCCCTCTCATGCTCTCTGTCTCTCATTCTCTCTCTCTCAAATAAATAAATTTAAAAAAAAATAGGCATTAAAAAGGATGAGATTAAACGATAAAATTTTCTAATTTTTCTATCTACAGTTTAATAGCTCATCTCGTTTACAGTCCACATTGGAAACCTGGGATTAGGGAAGGAACTTTTCATGAGTGAGAGCTTAATGGGTAGGTTCATAGCTTGAGTGCCCTAGACCCAGAGCCTCTGGGTTTGCCTCTTCTGAGGCTTCTACATTTTTATACCTGCAGGGGGAGTAGTTAGGCTACTTCTTATCTGGACCTAAAGTTGTCATTTATCCTTACCACAAAGAGCTGACAAGTAGTTTATTTATTTCCTTAAATAATGTGAGTCTCTCTTAAATAAGAGTGAGTCTCTCTCACCTCATTTTATAACACAGAACAACCCTAAATAGTAGTCCCTGTGGACACCCAGTTAGTACCCAGTGAACCCTCAGTGCAATTCCAGAAGGAGAGGAGTTTGCCACTGAAAAGAGCAACAAGTGCAGAGTAGAGAGATTATTACGGTCTGAGCTCTTAGAGGTGCCAGGTACAGGTTTAGTTTTAGGGACATCCTATGGTGATAGTAATAATTTTTAAAATGATAGTAAATAATATTTATTGATATTGAGCTTGTATCTGGTTCAATGCTATATAAACAGTATTTTATATGTGTATGTAAAATTTAATGCAATAACCCATGAGGTACGTACTATCATCCCTATTGTTTGGATGAGGAAACTGAGACTTAAAGAAATCTAGAAAACGTAATATCCTGAAGTTATATACTTCATTTTCATATACTCTGTATTTCACATGATCTGCATTTTCGTTTACTCATTAGTGACTGCTCATTCACTTAACTAATGATTATTTAATAATATATCAGGCACTTACTAAATGTTCAGAATACAGAAATGGCAAAGAATGGCATTTGCTCTCTTAACCTCAGTATCTCATAACCTGTTGGAACAAAAGATAAATAGCATTTGTGTTGCATTTTGCCATTTATAACTGTATTTCATATGTATTATGTCAGTTAGCCCTTATAATACCTATTTTACAAATAGGGAAATGAGTCCAAGACAACTTGAACCCAAGCTAGTGAATCATTTATTATGCCATAGCTCCCTTTTTATATTTAGACGAGTAGCATCATATCATTACCAAGCTTATTCTTGCAAATTTCATTAACTTCCTTTGAAATATACTTGATTCTAGTTAAGGAAATTGAAGACCATATTAAATAACTTAGGAACCAGGTTTTGGTGTTCTGCTCAGTCTTACATAGGAATTACTGTATTAATTTTGGTCATTTTTTTAAGTTTACTTTTTTTATTAATCTCTACACCACATGTGGAGCTCAAACTCACAACCCCAAAATCAAGAGTCGCACGCTTTTCTGACTGAGCCAGCCAGGCACCCCCTAGGTCATATTTTAAATGCAATTTCATTTCATATGCTTTCTTAAAGACTAGAGAACGAGGATTTTCAATCTTTACACCCACTTTGTTTATTCAGTTATTTTAGGATACATTCTCTCTTTGATTTTTACCACAGGCAACTTCAGAATGGACCTTGGATTACCCCCCTTTTTTTGCATGGTTTGAGTATGCCCTGTCACATATTGCCAAATATTTTGATCAAGAGATGCTGAATGTCCATAACCTGAATTACTCCAGCACAAGGACCTTGGTTTTCCAGAGATTTTCTGTCATCTTTACAGATGTACTCTTTGTGTATGCTGTCCATGAGTAAGTCTGAGAATGTCATTTTGTGTGGAAGGTGTTGAGGACATAATACAGTGTTAAGTAGTATTAACTGGTTCCTCATTTGGGGGAAACAAAATTCATATAATAACAAATGCTAGAACAGTCCCAAACTCTGTATTTGTGTTTTAAACTGTACAGGGAGTAATTACAGTAAACAGTCTAGCTGAATCGTCTGGAAGAAAATGTGGGATAAGGTGGGGTTACAAGGCAGAGGTAGAACAAGAGATTGTGAACATTGTGAAAAGTAGTCCCAAGTAGAGTTCCATCACCATTTCTCCTGCCTAGAATGGTTCCGTATGCTTTTCTTTCCTTTCCGTATGCCCCCAGAGGCTTCTATGACCTACCCTATTCTTTCGGATACACACACATACTTAGAGCACACCACACTCGTGTACACACATGCATTGTGCTGACCACCAATGGAGTTTCCATTCTAGTAAACTCAGGAAACCTTACTGAGTGCTTTTGGGTTTTGTTTCTGGATTCTTTCCTTCATGAAGACTCTTCATTAATTTTAAGTTACATTTATATTTTATATTCTTATGCTTTGTATCTCTTATTATAAATTAATTTTTAGTTGAATACACATGTATACAATGTCTTGCACAGTGACTTCCAGGTAGTAAGTTCTCAGTTACTGTTTGTTTCTATTCTATCCGAATACTTAAGCCTGCAGGTATGATTGTGACAGAGCACTAACTGTGTCCCTTCAGTGACCCTTGTCAAAAATGGATCTTTTCTCTTTGTGAGGCCCTGAACCCTTGCCCCATTCAGGGAAGAGTCCCTTGGGAATGTTTTAATCCCTGATCATTATCATGGAGTGTTTCCTATTTAACACCTTAACTTTCAGTCTGTTTATCACCTAGCAAGAGTTGGAAAGGAAGGTGATTTGTGATGTACTCCTTTAAACTCAAAACCTTTGAATTCAAGCTCCCAGGGCAAGTGTATATGTAGGCAGAAAGAGGAGGAGTAGAATTCATTTCCATCTGCAATGTAGAGGGAGCAGTTAAGTAAGATAAATTGTTGAGACCTATGTGCCAGTTTCTAGAATCAGGCACCAAGTATAGATAGTAATTTACTTAATTTTCTCTATTACCCTATAAGGTTACTGTCTGTTGATGAGGAAACAGTCTCCATGGAGGAAAAGCAGGTCACTTTTTGCTAACCCCTCTTTAATTGCATCGTTATTGTCTATTTTTTTGGCTTAGATTTCTGTTTTTAGGATTTGCCAATATTCAAATGAAAACACATTTTTAAAAATCTTTTTATAGGATTATACATCTGTGTCAAAATTTTGGAAAACAGAAATGTACACATATATACGATGCATATAAAGTAAAAATGACCCATACTTCTCCACTTACAGCTATCACTGTTAACATTTTGGTGCATATTATTTCAGCCTCTCTTCTGTGTCTGAATATAATTTTTATAAAATAAAAATAGGATCATAATTTTTGTCATCTGCTATTGTCACTTAATAATAGATCTTGACCTTTAAATGATACACATTTTTAATAAATGTTTTTAGAATTATTTGGACAATCAGGAGCTATAAGTTCATGGCTCTATTTTTAATTTGAGTGATATATATATATATATTTAGAGTGCTATATCATCTTGGTCTGCATTTTTTTTTTAGTACAGTTGACACACAATGGTACATTGTTATACTAGTCTCAGGTATGGTCTGCATTTTTTACTCAAGGACTGAAATAGTGTGTGCCCTCTCAGTTTTCAAAATCCTTTTGGGTTTATGGTGGTTGTTTTTTAATTTTTCGTTTTATTAAATGAAGACTTTGTTTCAAATCAGCATAGCTGAGAAAGAGACATGGAACTGGCCCTAAGGTCTTTGTTTCTGCTGTCACCTTCTTAAGCAGTCAAGAACAGCATGGACAGTTTATCAGGAACAGCTAGTAAAATGTATTTGAGTGTATCAGAGTATACTCTGTAATAGTATTGTGATGTTCTAATGAAGATCAAAGTTGTTTCTGCTTCCTTCCTACTGTTTCAATGTAGGTGCTGTAAATGCATTGATGGGAAAAAAGCAGGTAAAGAACTTACAGAGAAACCGAAGTTTATCCTATCAGTGTTACTGCTATGGAACTTCGGGTTGCTAATTGTGGATCGTATCCTTCCCTTACTTATTCTGATATATACTAAGTATAAGATCAATTATTTCTACAATGATGATTCTGAAATGTGAGCTGCTTTTGAAAATGGATGTGGCATGGGTCATTGGGTTCCCCAAACTGGTTTCTATGGGTTCTCCAACTATACCAGATTCTGGTTGTTAGAGCACTTTGTCTCCGAAAAGTTAATGATGTTCAAGAACCAGTTAAACCACCAGTAAGTAAAGCAATATACTGGGGTTTGTGGTTGACTGTCTTTAGATTAATACGTATATCTTAAATAGTTCTGTAACACATTATTCTAAATACCTTTTCTAAGAAAGGGTCTACCTCAGTGTTGCATATGGGAACAGACAGGCCTTCATCCTTTTCTGCCATCTTGGCTTACCACATATTAACAAGCAAAGTTCTTAAATCTAGAAGGTTTGAATGAAACTAAAATCTTAATGATAGAAGCCTAATATTTTATAATTTTCATACAGGTAGCCACGTGTGAGGAAAACACCCAGACTTTGGTTCAAGTCTGACCTGGACTCAGCTCTTAGCTATGGCATCACAGTAGCTTTAGGCTATATATGGATTAATGGCTCGAGCTCTAACTTCCTCACAGGTTCATTGTGAGGCTTACTAAGTAAGGTTGTGTATAGATACTCTAAAAAAGGGGGTGCTGCATGCTAGCGGCCTTGAGTGACTTTTAGGCCTTACTTTCTCATCCCTAATTCTAAAAAACAGAACCAAAAAACTTGCCCTGTAGCTGCTAGGTCTTTAAGGTAGAAAAAACATTGGAAAGTTTCCTGGTTTTCTTCTTAAATGTAAATTTTTTTTATCCCCTATATAATCCTTGGCACTATATACATTTTAATTAGTCTAAGATTTAACTCTGTTTCTGAGAAACATATTTATGAGAAATCCAAATTGGGAGGAATATTTTTGTTTTTAGTTTGCCCATTAGGAAAGCATTTGCATTTTTATACTCAAAAAATCTGCTGATACAGTTGAATTTGAATTTGGTATCCTTGCTTGTCTTTCCTTAACCTAAGCCCAGATATTCATTTCCAGTACAATGGTTTTTTATTTGGATTAATGCTACTCTCCATTGCACGATTATTTCAGGTAAATGCAAAATAGGCTGATGAGATTTTTTTCCCCCTTAGGTCTGACTTTGAGCTTATAAAGGCAACAGTATAATGGGTGAGGGGCAGACTTATTTGACCAACTGTTTTGAATTGCCAAGTGCAATAGACACTTTCATTGAGTGTTTCTCACAAATCCCGTCTCCTCTTTTGATAATAACTTTCTTCCTTTTACGTGTAGACTCTAAAAACTTGTTAGAGGGTAGCAGGCCTGAAAAAAACTTGAGGTGCTATATTTGGTTGGAATCTTTTTTTTTTTTTTTAAAGATTTTACTTATTTGACAGAGAGAGACACAGCGAGAGAGGGAACACAAGCAGGGGGAGTGGGAGAGGGAGAAGCAGGCTTCCCGCCAAGCAGGGAGCCCGATGCAGAGCTCGATCCCAGGACCCTAGGATCATGACCTGAGCCGAAGGCAGACGCTTAACAACTGAGCCACCCAGGCGCCCCGGTTGGAATCATTTATCTAGGAATGAAATCTTCAGTTTTACAATATAATAACTGATGGTAGGGTTTCACCATCAGAAGTAGGTAGCATAGTGTAACAGAAAGTATGGGATTTTGGAATCAGAAGACTTGAGTTGAAATACTGACTGACCCTAATAAACTGTATGACTCAGACAGGGCTCACACAAATGCATTGACTGCTTTGGGTTAGGTACATTATATACAGTATCTTATTGAGTAAACCTCACAACTATTCTGTGAAGTTATTATAATTATTACCCTCCTCTTTGTAGAGGAAGAAAGCAGAAGTTCGGATTTCTGGACCACCCCTCTGTACTCTGGCTCAGAATCCTTGCATCGGGGTTTCAGATTCTACATGGAATTTTGATTCACAGTCAGGTTTGGGAACCATTAACCCAAAGCAAGTCATTTAACCCCCTCAGCCTCAGTTTTTGCATCCATAAAATGAAATATACCCCCTT